CCCTTTAAAGAGGATACACATGAAATTGTGATGGTTGTTTTAAAATTTAGTTTAATATCTTATATCTATTTGACTATACCAATAAAAGCCACATAATTGTATTTCAAAAATTGTTTTTATCAAGCTGTTCGTAGAATAGAATAACATTTGGCAACATTATTAATTCATTTATAGAATGCACTGGAATTCAACTGGAATAACAATTAGGAACAAAAAAGTAATTAAAACTACTATAAGAGTCAAATTATTTGATATATATTTCAATAAAGAATTATATTAAATTTAATAACACACTAATTATTTTTGCTACGTTCTTAAATATTTTAAGTGTAAACCTAAAAGTATGCAATTTTTTATTAAGTAAATAAATGAAGAATTTAAATACCGTATGTAAACTAGCTTAGTTTTCAGATTTTTTTTTCAATTTCAATATTATTTATTTGATCATTGGCAATTATGATATTAATTGGAAACTGGAATTGTCCATACAATAGCCTGTTTGATACTTTAACAAATAGTTTTGCTTTATTATACCAAAATAATTTTTTACTTCTAAAAATTAAAAAAAAAATTTTTAGTACACAATTACTACTTTTAATTGATTGACAAAAAATTATTTTTGTCCATTTACCTACACATGTACCCATTTCAAAAGTTTCTCAATTTCAAGTTCATTTAATGTAGTATTCATTCAAAATTTTTTATTAAATAACATTGTATCTATGGAAACATATTCCTTATGTTATACTAATTTAAGAAGAAGCAAAAAAAAACCAATAATTATTTAAAAACAAATTTACAATTTAAGATTTTATCATTTCTTTCAATGTCAAGAAAAAAATACAACAAATTTTTGGATAAGAACCAAAAACAAGACAGCTTTCTATTAGAGTAAAAATTAAGAAAAATATTATTAAATTTAAAAATATTTAAAAAATTTTACAAAGTTTTTCTTAATTTCATTTGAGAAAAATTATAAGAAAAAATTTCGGAAAACTTTTTATATTTGACAAATAGACAAATATTCCAAAAACAAAATTTTTAGTATACAGAATAAAAAGATATGGTCAATTCAAGGATATTTTTAGAGTAAAGAAAAACAATTAAATATGAAAGAATGCTTTTAAGATTATTAAAGAAAAAATTTAGCTACTAGGTATTTAGAATTATATATAATACGTGTCTGTAGCTATGTACCATAGGTGCGCGTCTGTTTTTTTTACAATTTTGTAATTTTAAAAATTACAAAATTATTTTAATTTGAACATTTTTTTTACCTAGGACACATTTTCAAAAAAAAAATACTAAATTTTGTAAATTAATTGTAAAATGATGTCAAAATCAATTCAAATTAAATTTTTTTTTGAAAAACATTACAAAAATTTCAAAATTAAAATCGATTTTCAGAATTTTTTTACATAAGATGATTAATCTATTATTATTTATGAAAGACTTAGCATGAATCACCCCCTACTATTTGGCAATCTTCACAAATTTATTTTGAAAAAAATGCATAATAAAATTTTTTTAGTAGAAACACTTTTTTTCATTTCCTTGAACAGAAATATGGGCAAACAAATTTCCTCTTTCCGACTACCGTAGCCAACCATGGCTTATTGTAGCCCTCCCATATCGCACTTACACTACTCCGGTACCAAGCAAATACCTGTAGATATTTCTCAGGGAGTTGAGCTCCACATCACTGAGAAAGCCCCTACCAAAACAATTGCAACTTCTGGCGGCTAGACCGGTCACAAAAAATATGTTTCGTCGTCTCCTCATCACCCCCGGAGAACCTACACAAGACGGAGTCTGATTTGCCGAGTTTGTGCGAGTGATATTTCACCGGACAATGCTCAGTGAAGAAGTCAGTAATATCCAGAGACACTTAGTAAAAATTATCTAAAATTTTACACTTTAATTTTAAACAAATAAAAACTTTCAACTTATAATTTCGAGTTTCACACAAAATTTTCATATTTGAAAATGTCATCAAAACCGTTACCATTCCTTCCTACACAATACCACTTAAGTATGTATTAATAATGTGAAAAAATAAAATAAAATAGAAATAAATGAATGGGTATGTAAAAAATTCATAATTGATGAAAATAAAAATCAAAGTTTTAATAAGGTAATTACCAGTCTGGCGCTAAAAAACCCATAATAAAAAAATATTCCACAAAAATGAAAAAAAAAACACTTCAAATGTCGAAGCGTTTGCTCCTTTGTTTCATTATCAAACAAACGAAAAGAGAGAAGAAAATTAAAAACTAAACTAAAAATTGGAAAAACTAAACAAAAAAAAAAAGGAAATGAAAAATTTTCTACCAAAATACCATTTTATTGATTATCAATGCTCTAAAAATGAAAGTAAAAAAAAAATATATTTTCACACACACATACAAATACATAAATTTTTTTACAAACTTACTCAAAATTGTCACGACATTTCTTTTTTACATAATGATTACATACATAATATGTGTGTATACAAAAATCAATACAAATTATTTACGAAGGACGCATTATACATGTATGTATGTATATATAGTTTTGAAGAAAAGTAATAAAAAACATATTTAACACAAAGCGAAAATTTACTAACTGACCGATATTTAAGGCAAGAAATTAGAAAAAAAAATAAAAATCTGAAAATAACAAAAAATGGTAAATCCTTTTTGCTAAATATGCAATTCCTTTTGACCTTTCTTTTCTCGCTTTAACAAATTCGTTGAGGATTTCTTTAATCAACGCTACGGTATAATTTAAGTGAGAATAATAATTTTTTAAATTAAGTTTTAGAATCACAAATTAAAATATGATTGAATTCTATATAATTTATTTTATATTTATTATTATTATAATGATTATTTTAAAAATGGTAATTTGTTGCACATAAGGTTTTCATTTTAAATAATTCCCCTTTTCATCAGATAACTCTATAAACAGAGAGGCACAAGATGAAAAACATAAACCAAATTTTGTTTATCGGTAGCACAAGATGTTAGTCTTGTTTTAATCACTATTTTTTCCTCTTGTCTCTGAATAAAAGGAAAAAAATTTTGATTTTTGAAAGTACATTATTTACCATTCCGTGAAAACAAATATTTCGCAGTATGTTTTGGCACAAAGTTCATACATTCATAGGTACCATAAGTATAAGTTGACTTTCTGTGTTCAATTTGATTTTAATTTTCTTAATGTTAGGCAAGTTTTGCTTATTTTTGTACATATTCTTTTTGTAGGCATTTAAAATTTTATTCTAAGGATATTATAGAAAAAGAAACCCGATATAAGTTGTCATTTCAAAATTCGAAACACTCAAACAATTAGGTCACAGTCAAGTTCCTATACAAAATACAATATCAAATTATTACTACGAGTATGTGAAATTAATTGCCAAGTTCTTCAATGTGGTTTTTATAGATACGTTTCGTATCAGTAGAGCACTCATTTTGTTTATAAATAACCACAGTTTTAATATCATATAGACTTCTACCAGAGCTTTCACAATATACAAAAATTTTTTTCGCATTTTATTAAATGAAATACCTAACAAAGACATTTTATACAAAAAAAATTTTAAATTTTTATGGTAATGTTAAAAAATTATAGAATATCAGTGTGCATATCGAATAATAAACGCATAATTACCGAAGAAGGTGGTTAAAAATAATTTTCAATTATTTGACTCAGTACCGTATTTCAACGCAAAATATTTTAAATACATGTTTGATTAATAATGTATAAGGTAAGAATAAACATATTTCAATAAGACACGATAAATTGTACCAGTAGGGATGAACCGACAAATATTGTTTATTTTTCAGCAGGAATAATTAAATACCATTATAACCGTTATACAATTTCCTTTAACAAAATAGTAACTAAAAAAAAAGTAAATTACTTATTACTTACTGCCCAATTCGAAAAAAAAACATTAGTCTGGGAAAACACGCACAGATTTAAATTTTTGTTTTTGTAATTTCTTTTACTCTTAATTTCTCTTTCTAAAAATTAAGGCAAAAGTGGGGCAATATAAAATAAGTCTAAAAAAAAAAATAATAATAAATTAACAAGGAAAACGCGCATTTCTTGTGATTAATACTTTTTCAGTAAAATGGACTGTTGTCAGAGCATTTAGGTAGGAAAACAATCTAAGGAATAAATGAAAAAAAAATCCTCCTTCCAATTTAACAAAAAAAAAAACTTTCGTTCATAATTATTTTCGTTTTATTCCAGTGTTAAATTTTGTTCTTATTTGATTTTTATTTTTTTTATAGTAGAAAAAAATGTTAAGGAGTCTTAGGTTTTCCATAATATTTTTAAGACACTATTAATAAAATTTTGTAAGAGATGTTTGAAAAATTTCGTGAAAATAATTAAATTTCTTTATTTAAATTAAAATTAATTTTTTATAATTAATTAATTTAAAACTAAGTTCATTGCTTGCATAATTTTTTTTTAAAATATTGAGAATTGTGTATTATGAATAAGAATTTTATCCAACCGCAGCTTAAAATAAAATAATATTTTAATCTACATAACCAAACTCAAAAGACGATATCTAATAGCATATAGGAAATCCAGATATAGAAATTCATATCAAAATAAATATATAATATTTAACTTGAATGAGTCCAATGATCGATCGACGTCATATGCAAATATAACCAATCTTATTAAAAATTTTTATTTTCAGAGCATAATTACAATTTCTATATTAAAGTTACAGAGATTTCATTTGGTTTTCATTGCCATTATCAGAATATCTTTTAAATTACGTTTCTTTTTACTGCCTTACAATTGGATATTTCCAAGAAATTTTCTTTAGAGAAAATATAGCATACTATACATTTTATAAAATTATTTTCTGAAAATTAATTATTAATTTTCATTTTCCATTTACTGATCATCTTCAAAATTTAATTTAATTGTGTTATTGAATTAATAATTATCATAATAAATATAGAAAATATTTTTTTTAATAAACTTACCTGTGCTACCTTTTCTCCCATATTTGGCGTATGGCGACTCCCTTGAAAAAACTTTGCTGATCCATTATCCTTTTTATATATCAATTTAACATATAACACGGTTTTTGACACACAACAAACAATATTAAGTTATTATAAAGGAGAGAAGAGAAAAAAAAAAGAGAGTAAAGAAATGAAAATAAAATACAGTTTTAATTTTTTTATATGTATATAAAATTAAATATTAAATATTATAAAAATAATACATAATTTTCATTATAAATAATGTATTAATAAAATATTAAAATAATAACAACAAAAATTTATTATATAATATAATATTTTTCATAAATATTTTAATAATATATAATATATAATTTAGTATATCAGTTTCATTTCGAATTTTAATAAATATGCAATTTTAATTTGAAATTTGAGTAAATATAATTCTTCCAAAAAAAAAAAAAAAAAAAAAACAAATATAGAATGTACAAATAACATAAGTATATTAAGTATATTATAATATAAAATTGTATATGCTCATAAATATGTTCTATTCGTATAAAAAATAAATAATATACACTTTTATATACAAATATTATACAAATATATGTATTCATGTACATAATGAATTTGAAAAGTAAATAATATTAAAAAAAAAGAAAGCATACAGAGTGTATCACCATTCTAAGGTATTCTAAGTGTCTTAGAGGCCAAAAATAAATTATTCAGATAAGTTAGATAAGTACTGAAAAATTTCAGGGGCCAAAAAGTATTATTAGACAAGGATGAGATAGCTACTGAAAAATTTCAACATAATATTATAATATGTGGATTGATCCCACTTTAAAGGAAGATCAATCCACATATTATGATTATTGCAAGAGTGTATGTAGCAACCATAAGATTCTCATTTAGTAAATCAACAAGAAATAGGTGACATTCGAGAAATTAAAATTTTAACCGTAGAATACGCAATAAAGTAATTAAATTAATATTTTGCTTTATAAATTCACTCAACCAGAGTATTATTTTCCAATTATAAACTTCATTATCCAAAATTTTACTAAAATAATGGAATAGTTTTCGACTAATTTATAAGAAATATCGAGCCCTTCGTGTTAAAGTTTAATGTTAATCACAATTATTAATAAGAGTGTTTCCTTTCCATCAGAAACTATGAATTCATATATTTTTACTCTTTATTAATAATTATTATTTACATATATATTTGTTACATTATATGGTGTGTACCACTCTACATGCTCAGTATAATAATTATAAAAATATTATATAAAACCTGTACAAAATATTCTTCATGCATATTTTAATAAAAGAAAGTAAAATTAAATTAAAAAACATAAATTTTTTACTCCGTTTGTATGTACATGCCTATATATAATATGTACATACATTATTTACATATATGTATTTAACGGAAAAAAATATTCTGATTTCATATTATTTATAAATTTTATATACAAAAAATAATTTCAGAATATTTTATTGCAAGATAAATTCAATTTTGTATTTACATAAGTGAATTCACAAAAAAAAAAAAAAAAACATGCAATAAGATTTGTGCACGTGCAATTTGTTATGAAAAATTGTTATATAATATCACAGTTATGTATATTTGTAACATACCAGCATTATATTGCAGGTATATTTTATACTAATTGTATGTACAATAATGTATTTGGTCTTGTACTAAAATTTATGATTTTTTCAACAATTTTTCAATACATATAGGTATAAATATAAAAATTTTACTTACATATTAAGTACAGAAATTGTAATTTTGTATAAATTACAGATAAACTGTAATACTTATATAATTTATATAATAAAAAATTATTTGACGTTGATATTATTTACATATTCAATTGAAATAGCCTAAGACAGTGTTCGAGAAAATATACAGTAGAAAAAGATAATATTACAGTCATACAATTTCCATAAAATCAGGCCAATAAATTAAAAAGTAACAAGTAATATACCTAAAACTCAAAATCCTATAAAGGTTATTATACCGCAAGTAAGTTGAATAGTTAATAATTCTCGGTTTTTTTAGAAAAATATTTGAAAAAATTGAAAGTTAATTATTCGAATATTAGATATATTAACAATCTAATACTATTGAATTCACTATCGATTAATGTATAACAGAATGTTACACTCAATATTGCGAATAGCTTGGGATCCAGCTTTTTATATATCGCAATTTTACAAAATTGAATTCTACGTTCAAAATCTTAAAAAATTAAAGAATTCACAATTGTGTAATGGTAAAAAATTTTATGATGTAGGAGGTTAAGGAAATAAATTCGATAGACCTATAGAGAGAACAACATATAAGAACGCAATCAAGTATATTTGATCACAAATTGTTAATATGACTTAACCTTAAAGGGCAGTTTAAATTCTACAAGAAATTGACGTTTATAATAAACTTCACCTTTATATTTCGAAAAAAAAAATTAAAACCCAATTTTTTTGCAGTTGATCATGGAAACATTATTGTTTTAGCTTATTAGACAATCAAAGCTCTGAACCAGCAAGAAATTATTTAAGAAGAAATAATCTTATTTCATTTTTACAAAAAACAAATTAACAACAATGAAATTAACTTAGTGATAATCAGTAGATATTGAGATTTAATTCTAAAATACTGTTGGAAATTCCCAGAAATGAAGTGAGTATACCTATTCTTAAAATGAAACTTTTTTTAATACCATACTATTTTTTTTGTAAAAGTTCCAATACTCTACAACCATAAATTTATACTAGAATAGAAATATTATTTTATATTTAAGTGTAATAACCAAATTCATCTGTGACTATTTGAATAATTAAATTTATAATTTTATATTCCTTGCTGACTGTAAATCCAGTAAAAGTAATATTATTGTGTAATCTATGTATGGTGTTGTATATTGTGAAAATACTATGTTGTTTAAAATTTCGAAAATATTATAAGTTATTTTATGCTATATATAAAATTATATATAAAGATAATAGCATAGAAAGCTTTCATTTTTAAAAATTTAGGTGCATAACTTGTGCATAATTAAGTTAATTAGCATGAGATATTTCCTTTTAATATTAATATATTACAAAAGCCAAAGCATATTATTATAAAATGTTCAAGCATAACAATTATAACCCACAGTAATTCTATATGGTATTGTAACGACATTATTATGTTCCATTATAGAATATAAAATATAGGAAAAAGAGTTAAAGCAAAGAGCTATACGCACAGATTAGAAATTTGTTTTTTTTTATAGTAAAATGAAAAATCATATAGGTGTCATTATACTTTAAAGAATTTGAAGAAAAATTTAATTTTAAGCAAAAATTTTTCCTAACATTATTATTAATAATAAAAAATCAGTGAAACAAATTTTGCTATATTAATTTATAAATGTATATGGTATTCTATAATATATTTGTAATCCAATAAAATTTTGTAATATTTAACAGATCCTATACCAAAATTTCTATCAAATGGGAACTTACCAATAATATAACCTTAATTTTTAATTAAACAGGAGTGATTCCAACTTCAAAATTCAAAAATTTTATTTACCTATGCAATAGATACTACATAAAATAGTTTTATAATCGTATACCATGCTAACACTAAAGTATTATTGTACAATTTGTACCATTTGTACAGTATATAATAAATTCTTTTCATGACCAAAATTCGCCCAAAAATACTCATACTTTTCGAAGTATTTTATTTTGATATCTACATGTAATGATATTTTCCATTTAAATAATGAAAATGTAATTTATTTAAATGCTTCAACATTGAATCTATAAAATAATTTTGTTGTTCTTCTTTTTTTTCTTGTTATTTATGTATTCAATATTTTCAGAACAATTCACACCTATAGAATTTCCGAAATGTTAAAAATATTCAATTTGAAAAAATTAATAAAAAAAACTCAATTCACAAAAGTGATTTCAATTCACTTAGAACCCATAACTTTGTATAAAAAAGTTATAAAATTTAAGAGAAAATGTGCAATTTTGTATTAGAAACATTCAAATGAAAATAAATTAATAACTTGATATTCACTGAATTTGTTCGTATAATATAAAGTAGAATTTACGAACATATATAAAATGTAGAAAGTTATAAGCATACATACACGCACACAGTCGGCTATTTTATGAACATTAAATTGAAATAAAGAGCACATTTTTATTAGTTAACCTAAGTTAAGTTGAAGTAAATATTCGAAAACAATTGTACGACCCATTCTTAAATGATTGTAACTAAATTATAACTGGGAAAACAGAACTATGCCTTTAGACATGAACAAGAAATTATTGAGAATTTATTTGCCGAAATATCATAGATCGTCTGAGAAAAGGAAACTATTTTCTATTTTCTTTCTATTCATATCTCAGGACACATAAAAAAATATTTGATTGAATTGAATACTTAATTGAATTAGGTAACTAAATTCAAAATTTGACTGGAAAAACATTTACCAAATATTTACAAGAAGTACAAGAATATTCTTTAAATTCAATAAATTCTTTAAATTGCCGAAAATAATAAAAAATAAAGTTCGAAACTCAATTTGTTCATGGAAGTTATAAATATTTTATGGAAAAAATTGTAATACGTTTACAGATATAGAGGACCTTTTAAAAATAATTTTCCTTTCCAAAACGCCTTAAAAAAAATATATTTAGATATTTTACAGAAAAATAACGAAAGTGTCGAAAAAAATATCAGTTATATTATGCTGTTATGAAGATTGTGCTTAATTACTTAGTTTCACCGAAATATACTTGGTTTATTACTTTGCATTTACCTTGAATCACACATTTACACAGATTATCACTATTACATGACCTAGAAAATATTTTATTATTCTTTGAAATGTTGCAGATACACAGTAAGTATTTTATTTGATACCCAAATATATCCTATTTAACAATTAATATCAGAATTATAATATCGCCTAAATAATCAATATATAATTGCAATTTCTAATTTATTATCCAAATATAATATTACTTTTTTTATATATATATCAATCCGATTATCACTAATCGACTCCATGAGAACATTATATTTCTACTAAATATTTGTAGATATATAAATATTGTTATACTAATATATAAAATAACTATTATTGAAATTAATTACTTAATGATTGTGATTATAATTTATTTTCAAAATAATATCATTAATTTTTTTTATATAGAGAATCCTGCATATACCACATATAAGATTTAAAACATAAATAAAATTAAATATTTTTTTTTCTGTTTTTTTTTTTTATAAAAAATATTCATACATACACAGGTACATAAAATATTATGTAATAAATTGAACTAGTGGAATCAAACTAAAACATTATACTAACATTATATTTAAAAAGAAATTTTATTAACCCATTTAATTCCGAATTTTTCAAAAGCAATTTCAAAATATTATTAACCTTGTGGGTTGTAATTGAATTATTGAAAATTTAACTATTAAAAATATAGAAATTATAGATTTTTATTAATTAAGTCTTCTGCCCATTTTAAGATTCTGGAATTAACATGAAAAATATTCTGGAATTATAGCGTAAATAATGAAATATTTATGAAGAATTGTTGAAATTTCACATCACATCACATGGATAATCACAAAGTGTCATCGAACTACTTTTCATTTTGAACTATTTTTTTTATCAGCATATTATATATTTTTCGTCTAAAGAAACATTTTCATTTCAAAATACGAAAATTCCCGTAAAAATTCAAATAAATGTTAAGCCTAACAATCAAAAAATTGCTGATATGTAGAAATATTTTCGAGGCTTTTTAAAAAAGCTCCTGGAAAGATCAAAAATCAAAAGTCATCTAACCAAAAACCAAATTTGGCTTGCAAATAATTTCTAACTTAAATGGGTTAATATTGTAAATAAATGATTTTTGAAAAATAAAAATGATATAAAAGTAATCTTTAAAAAAAAAAAAGAATAGAACATCACCATTTTTACGACAACGGATATTACACAATCATACAGTAATATAACACTTATTTTAGGAGAAAAATTTACCTAAATTAAATAATAATGATTTTTACTAACTAAAATTTTAATTATTAATTTTTTTTTTTTTGGATTCTTAACGATTTTTTTTTTGATTCTAATAAATTTTTGTTTTGTGATAATTACATTGAATGGGTAATGGCACGTTACTTTATCATGTTTTTCCATGTAAGCAGCTGCACTTCTTGGTGTGCTATGCGTGCTAAAATGCTGTTCAATATATAAAAAAAAGTATAAAAGAAAAAAAAACAAATATATAAAATTTAATTTAAAAACTAAAAATTAAATTTTACCAATTATAAAACCAAAAAAAAAAAAGTAAATATTATAATGTTAATAAAAAAAACTAAAACCAGAAAGGGGGTAAAAATATAAAAACAAAAATCCCAAAAAAATTCAAAACTTAAATTCTAAATAATCTTAATAATATACCTACTAAAATGTAAATTTTAAATAATATAAAAGAAATTTATTTTACAAATTTAATTATTTAATATTTATGTACTAAACGTGTTCATTTGAAATAATTTTGATATTATTTGTTATATTGCCATTACATAAGCGCATATTGAAAGCTGTCTTAGTTTGCTCATACAATTATTTTTAAAAAGATTCCTTCTTTCCGAAAATTTCTAAATAAATTCAAATTTAAAGAAAAATATTTTGGAATTAAATTAAAACATTGTTTTCAAACCAAATTCACTCAAAATCTTAGATTGATTAGACATGCTGTTAAAAATGTGGATCACTCAGTTATTATATAAAAAATCAGTAATCAGAGTTAAAACTATGGTTTGCACATTCAATATAGCACATTTTCCTTTGCCTAGTCTCAATGTAGTCTTAATATTCGTTTTGTTCGGAATAATGAAAAAAAAAAACATTTAGAATTAAAGTTCTATTATTATTAAATAAATATTGCATACATTTAGGGGAATTATTAAAGTAAAAAATTTTAAGAGACTATAGCATTGAATGAGTAAAGGTAAACTGAGAGTTTGTCCTAGAAAATATTTACAGACATCCATAAACAATTAAAATTTGGACATTTAATCCAGTTACTTCGGATATTACTTCGGAAATTAATAATATTCCGATTTAAGGCAATTTTTTTTTTAATCAAAATTATTTCTTAAAATGTTATTAAATTATGGTGTGTGTGATTTCTAAGTATAATTTTTTATTAAAAAAGAATCATGATTTTTTTTTAATTTTTTAATAATTTTATTGATGATTACTAAAATTTTACTAATTATTTAAATTTTTATTTTCTTAAAAAAAAAAATAGTTTGCAAAAAACAAAAAAATTATAATAAATTTGAAATTAAATTATTTTATAAAATAATTTTTGGTTTTCTTCTCTTTTCTTTTTTTTTTTTGTCTTTTTCGGTTTAGTATTGTAGAAATGAAGAATTTGATTTTGAAATCAAATATACAAAAAAAAATAAGAAATTAAGTAAAAGGAAAAAAAAAATTATTTTTCTTAAAAAATTCTTACAGCACTAAGCGATTTTCGAAAAAGAAATTTAATTATTTTTTATAACAAAAATTATATTCAAAATATTGCCAAACAGCTCATATTTATTAAATTAATTAAAAAAATATTTTTTTTTTATATAATAATTATAAAGTAGGTATAAAAGGTACATAATTATTTAGCAAAAGTAAATTAAAGACAAAAAAAAAATAATTTTCTTTTTTCGAAAAATCAAATTTCAAATTTCGAAATATTTACAAAATTTTATACATATTTCGAAAATAATAAATATTGTTAAAAGGAGCGAACTGAGTAAGGTTTCGATAAAATTCTATTTGTTTTTTTTTATTTTTTGAAATTAAATTTTTAATTTTTCTTATTCCAGAATTTTATTTTTCATTATTTTTGGTAAATAACCATAAATTTTAACCATTTCAATTCGCCACTTTTAAATTAATTCTATTTATATATTTTATTTTTCTTTTTTTTTTGTATTTTTTATTATTTTATGTTAGAATTTCCATTTATATTTCTGTTTTTGATTATTCAAATTGAAATTACCTTTTGTTTATCTGATTTCATATCTGAAGGCACATTTGACAGTGATGAACTGGTTGTTCTTTGATGTGGTTCGATAATACATGAATTTTGACGGAATGAAATCGCTTTATAACGCTGGAGATCACTTTCTGAAGAAACACATGGAAAAAATTGCCTAGCTTGATGACCAGCTGCTCCTATAATAATTTAATTTAAAAAAAAATTTGGTATTTTGTCTTTTTTTTCGGTTTCTTTTTTTTTTCACTAAAATTTTTTAATTTTATTTTTTTTTTCCTTAAAATTTACATTTAAAATATTTCTCTTTTTTTTTCAAAAAGTTTAAGTTGAATATTTTTAAAATTGAAAAAAAAAAAAAGAATTTGATTCGTTAGAAAAAATTTTATTTCTACATTTTGAAATTAATTATAATTAATTATAATTACAACAAGGTAAATATTCTTGTTACCAGAACTGCACAAAATTCCCTTAAACTGAATTCAAAGTTGATATTATTTTCTAGAATGATTTTGTTCAAAAATTCCAATTAATATACGTACTGTAAGTATTGTTGAGTTGGGTATTGTTGCGGTAATTATGATCATTGAATTAGATTCGAGTGAAAAATTATAATTTAACTCACTATGAAGCAATAATGTTTGACATAAAAAGAAGAGTCGTTCGACTCGTCAATTATTATCAAGATTTTTCAAAATTACCGGCACAAATGTTGTCTCATTCATTTTTTAAATAAAAATCACTTCGAAAAATAATTCTTATTGAGTAATTAAATTATTGTGAGAATAAACTGATAATCGAATCATTAATTTTTAACAATTTTATTATAGACACAAACCATTTTCACAAAATTAGTTTGTGTACACAATAATAAGATTTAACTTTTCACAATAAAATCACTGGGATTATTATTTTGGTGATTCGATTATAAGCATAAGCTGAGGGTATATTAATTCTCTTAGTGAATACTTGCATGCAGTCGATAACAGATCAATGTACCTTGTGCAATTATTTTCTTACTTATCATTCAAAATTTTTAAATATAAAATAATCATATATAAGGATTTTAAAAAAAGGGATAAAGGGAAAAAGTATCATTTAAAAAAGTATATTAATTTAATTATTGTGAATTATAAAAATTTTTTTTATCAATTATTTTTTTTAATTTCAATTTAAATAATTTGAAGTAATTAATACTATGAAAATTTTAATCAATAACAAATGAATAAATCTCTAAGTGGATTACTAAAATGTTTTCGTTTTTTTTCGGACGTGGGTGGGGTGAGGGCGGTTGGGGCAGGTGGATACTAGGAAGAACAAGATTTTTAAGAAAAACAAAACGGAAATTAATAAAAAAAATTCTTTTTATGTTTAACATTTTGTAGGTTTACATATAATGTATATGTTCGTATGTTGATCTATTTATATTATTTATATAATATATTAATAAAACTCGTGTAAAACTCTAAGGCTCTATATTAAAAAAAAAAATAAAAGAAAAAAATTATGTTGAATTCTTTTTTGTTGTTTTTAATTTGTTGTGTTATAAAAGCTAAGACCGTTACAAGGGAATTTTATAATTTGTACAATAATTTTAATTATAAGTCTTTCAGTTTTTAATTGTTTATTTTGACTGGTAACACTCAAAGGATGTGTATTTAATATTTTATGTATGTAAAAATAATTAAATGTAAATAGAATGAGTTTTTTTTTCGGTATAATAGAATATTTGAAAAATAAATTAACAATAATAAAATAACAAAAGTGATAAAGTTAATAATAGCGTGGAAACTTCTACAGCAAATCTGAATATAAGAATTTTCATAATGATACCGATTTTTAATAATAAACCATTTAAACTTGTACACAGATTTAATCTAGTATAATTCCTTAATTTGCAAAGTGTCTTTAAAAAGATTTACTGAATTAAAAAATAATTTTAGTACTTGTTATTTTAGCCAAAAGCACATATTGCATAATTTATTATTCCTTTTTAAGCAATCGAAATGGAAATATTCAAAATGGAAAATTCAATTTTTTAATTAAAACTAGGGTACTATAATTTTTTTCCCAAAAAACCAAGAATATTTCAACTAGTTTCAATGTGTAAAAAAATTGTCGATTTACTAAGATTTTCGATAAAAACGTGATTAGGAAGATTCATGCAAATTAGCGACTATGAATGGCACGTAGGTATGTAGCACAAAATCACGTAAATTCTATATTTTACACTGAAATTAATAAATTTTAATCAGGTAACATAACAAGAATAATATTACACAAAACTTTTAAGAATTTAGAATTAAAGTTTCCGTTTTCATTATAACCTTTATCACTTTTGTCACTCTATTTAATATTAATTTTTCTAATATCCTATTTCGGGTGAAATTTGGTTTTGAGAACATTGAATATCAATGAAATAAAATTACCTAAAAACCACCAAAACATAAAATAGAAATGAACAAGAAAATTGAAAGTACAAAAACTTAAAAGAAAAAAAAAATTAATGATTAAACAACAGGATGCTCTCTATAAAATCTATTATGGTAATGGAGATACAAGTGAAAAGGAACACAAAATTTTTGACACAAAAACTAAAGGGAAAATCAAAATGAATTTTTGTATGAAGATGAATGAATTATTTTACAATGTTGTGTGACGTTGGATATTTGATATTTTTTGTATTTGATTTGATTTTTGTAATTTCAAATGATTTCCTTTTTTTATGTCATCATGAAATTTAAATAATAGTTTTGTTGTTAATTTTTTTTTTGTTTTTGTTTTAAATAAAACTTAAAATTTAATTTTGTTATTTTTCATTTTTTCATTTGCAAGGTTTTTAATAGTAATTTAAGTTAGATGCGATTTTATTTTACTTAAGATAGTGTATTGAACTTTTAAAAGCGTTTAATTTATTGATAATTTCAAAAAGCATATTGATAATATTTATTAAAAAGTAAATAAATAAATTGAAAGAAATGCTAAATAATGCTGAAAAGCGTTGGAAAATTTTAATGAATTTTGAAGAACAAAAAAAATATTTAAATAAAATAATAAGCATTTTAAAAGTTTACATTCCAAATGGAAAGTTCTAAATGACCTGGCCTTAATCTTAACAATAATATTTGTTTTTAAAATTATTGAATCTGTTTCGTTAATATTTTTCATCCTGTTCGAATACTAATTTAATAGATGATTGATTGTCTACAATTTAGGTAAAATCGAAATTTAATTGGATCTTAATAATTGTTAAATTAAAATCGAATTGTAATGTAAATTTGAACAATTGGTAAATATAAATACAATTAGTACACAAAGTGTTTCACATAAGGTGGCAATTAATTTCGGGAATGATTCTTTGATCATTTTCCAGAAAAGAATTTTATGAGTTGGGAGGGTGCAGATATTTATTTGTTTTCAAGCTACAGTCTATTGAAAAAGATAGGAACCAGATTTTTTCTCCATATAAATAAATACTAAACTTTGGAACCCGTACAATTTTTTGCTAGAAATTGATCAAGTCCCTGAAATTATTTATTTAATCTCATCTTATGCCAAATACTTTGTATATTCAATATACTGGGTTTTATACTGAGAACCGATGTAATTTTATCTATAAAAGAAAATTTGGAATTTTCAATATCACGCTTCTCAGACTAAATCTCAGTGAACCAAATCAACATAAAAATTTTGTAAAAATTGCTATCATAAGTATCTCTTGCATATTGGAAAAAGTTCTCAAAAAAGATTTTTGTATCCTATTTTTTGTAATTTATCATATAAAATAATGTGAATACATAAAAGAAAATAGTTTTTAAAGAGACAATTAAAATTTCCAATAATTAAATAATATTTACAATAACAGTTTACCGTACAAATACAGATACGTGCAAATTCAAAGCAGTACCCAAATAAGATTATTAAAATAAAAAAAAAATTGTACTACTAAACATTTTTGGTTCTAATTAAATTGAAATTTTTTAAATGTTGTAAATATTTCATTCTGTCTCTACATACGACATATTGGAGATATGCTTAATATTGTATGCATATATAACTTTTATTATTAAGATTAAGCGGCATTTATTTTTGAGAAAAGAAAATTTTACATAGATTCCATCTTAAATAATAATTTCAACCTACACGATTTTTTTTTTTATTATAGTGTCAGGTCAATTTTTCGAAAACTATATTACTTCGATTTCAAAATAAGTAAAAAAATATTATCTTTTGAATAGCATTTTCGAATTTGGATACTTTATTAAAATTGTAATGATAACAAGACAATGTGAATACAAATGAGAAACCAATCCATTATTATTATTTGAATTAAATTAATAATGACTTTTGTGTGATTATAAAAATTATTATTAAGTATAAAATGATGTCAATGTTTAACATGTAATTTTTCATGTATCTCGTTTTTTTCTTTTTTTAAATTAAATTTATTTGATTTGTTTGATTTTTGTAAAGAAATTTTTTTTTTAATTTTTATTTATAATTTTGTTATTCTGTTTATATAATTTAAAGCCAATTTTTCCCCAATTTTTCCTTTCTAATATTTTAATCCTTTAAATTTAGTTAATGAAATATAAATATCCTTCTTCCACATAACCAACCAGTAAGGTACTCTTGTATTATAGGTAATTATTTACTCTTATTATTTTTTTGTTTTAATAAATTTTCTACTAAAAAATTTCTAGATAAATGGAAAAGAAAAAAATAATCAAAAATAAATTTTTAAAATAAAAAAAAAAATTAATTTCAGGCTTTCTTCATCATGCATTGCCAAAAAAAAAATTTTAAAGCATTTGAAGAATTACAAGCAAAATCATTTTGAAGATTAAGAGAAAAATATTTAAAAAAAATTTATGCTGCAAAATTTTTTGTAAAAGCATTTACATATATATTAAAAAAATATTTTATTACATTATAGAAAAAAAATTATGTTTAAAAATAATATAAGCGACAAAAAAAACAAAATTTAATATTAATTCATATGGGGGGAGGGCTTTTATTTTAATTCATAGGTAATCACATTCCAAAGCATGTATAGAGGCCGACAAAAATTCAATAAGCCATTTTTAAATTAACCATATGAATTAAATTTTTTCTAATATAATATTTTGAATGAATTAATGTCAAACTTAAAATGTAATATTTAAAATATTTTCTCAATTTTCCTTAACGTATAACATTATCAGTTCAATTAAATTAAAAATTTAAGAAATCGGAGTTCAATTACCCGCATACATAATCTACATTTCATTCACATAACATGATTTTATTTAAAACACGAACCGTAAATTACATTGTAGATAGGATTTGCCAATTAAAAAAGAAATTGAAATTTGAAATTAAAATTGAGTTGGAGTTTGAAGTTAGATGGTTCGTCATATAGTGATTATCCCTCAAGGACTACCGGTTGTCACAAAGAAAGGATAAACGTAGAAAATATAAATTTAATCATTCTCAGCTCTTCACTTTCAAATGTTACAACATAATGATAATTATCAATTTAATTAGTAAAACCAGTTAGGGCCACTAAATATCATTGCAATGTGAAATTTTAAAACAGAGAGTAAAGAAACTAAGTTAGTGGGAGTCCCTAATTTTTAGGAACAAATTTAAAAAAAAAACAGATTTCTGGGTTTAATAAAGGCTGAAAACGAACAACAATTTGAAATGGACAAGTTACGAAACATAATTTCAACTTGTAAAATGATCTTAGTTTTCGCTAGTTGGACTTACTTTACAATATTGAAGGGGAGTTTGACCTGTCGTTGTGCAAATGGTAACTTAGTTTTGCAAAAATTAATGGAAAGAAAACGACTAAGCAGTTAATAGTGCAATGATCGTTTAAAATTATCAAAAAAAAAAAGAGCAACAAAATTATTTATCGTAAAAGCAATATTCTATAATTTTGCTAAAATCTCAATCAGAATTGAACTTCCAAAACTACTTAATGTTTTCTATACACTTTAAGTTTGACATCATCAAAAAAGTTCCTCGATACACTTACAAGCAAAATTCTTTACAAGAATAAAAAAATATCTGAATTGAAACAAAAATTTACTAAGCCATTAATTTTAAAATTCTTATATAAAAAAAAAAACAAAAAAAATTTCATTAAAAAATTTACTTTAAAGTTTTAAAACAAGTTCCTATAGTTGCAAAACAAAATTGTTGTTTTTTTTATTGAATTTTAGAAAATTAAATTTAAACAAAAAAAAATGAATTCTTAAAACTAAATAAAAATCAAAAAGAAATAAAAAACAAAATTTTTCAAAAATCCAAACCCAAACCATAAATTTACCTTTCATAAAATCGTCGACAGTATGAGCTCGTTTATGTAAAAGGCCATGATTACTAATTGGTTTTGTGGTTTCATTTACAACATTGTGTATAAGTCTTTGATCCTCATCTAAATTCAACCAACACATCATAATATATAATTAAACAAAAAAAAAAAAAAATAAGAAAACCATATATTTTCCTTTCTTTCTACTTTGTTTTTTTTTTTTAAATATTTTTTTTTTTTCAACAGCTTGTGCTTTTTATGTTCTAAACACAACAGCTTATTAAGGGAAGGAACAATAATTTGGGGTTCTATTTATGTAGGTATATAACGCTATCTATATATATATATTTTTTTTATAAAAGTAACTCTCAATTTGATTTCAATATAACAATATAAAATAATAGTATAAAAATAAAATAATTATAAATTGAAACACCAATTTAAAGTAAATGTTTGTTCACTATAAGAAAACATTTATAATGTTGATATACGTATTAAGTATTTTGACTTAAAAAATATTCTAGCTTTATGTAATTATTGCCAACTGAAATTTACAAATTCATTATACAAGGTGATTCGTAGTGGTATACAACAATATTATACCATTGGTCTAAAAATTTGTTTATTTAGAATATTAGAATTGAAATAAGTGTATAATGTAGAAAGAACACTTTTGATTTTAAAATTAATTTGTAATAACAGATTTTCAGTTAAAACTAATGAAGTATTGTAGGTATAAGAGAAAAATTTTGAAATTGACAAAAAAACGCTAGAATATAGCCCAGTTGAAAATGCTGCTATTTTTTTGTGTACAGAGTAAAGTCTGTATTCAGTTTAACAATTTAATGTTTTTATTTCATTCTATTTTTTCCTACAAAAACTGCTAACGAATCTGATAGTTGCCTTTTTTTCGTCAAAATGATTATTGTTTTGGCTCGTTCATGCAATATTAAGTTACATGACAACTACTGATCTTTGACCAAAGCAATTCGCTTGACATATTATATAAAATTGTGAAAAATCGTATTTAATATTAATTTTACGTTATTTTTACCATTATAAAGGTAATTAAGATCAATATTTTGATGTTTGAATATAAAATGCAACCAATTAAGATTTGATACGTTGTTATTGATTCCAAATTTGTTGTAAAGCATCGTTGTTTTATCTTAGCACTTATTATTATTCATTTTAAACTTTTTAAAATTCTTCTTTTTTATTCAAATTACATAATTTCGCAAAAATTATGTTTTGAATTTTCACTAAGAGCATATTTTTATTCCATAATCTCTTAATTTTCAAGCATATATAAAGTGATTTCACATAAATGTTCAATCAAACACACAAAATTTAAACTGATAGCTAAATTAATTAACTGATATTTCGAATTAAACTTTAGTTTGACTTTAGTTTTTTGTGCTAACACAAAGTATTTACTCGGTAACCAGTTACAATGTACTATTTTAAAATAATTCCAAACATAAAAATAATCCTAAGAACGTTCATTGTTAATATTTTTCATATTTATTTACAGGGTGATTTTTATGCTTTTGAAGAAAGAACACTCGAAATTTGAGATTTTATGGAACTACTTTTTGAATCGATAAACTAACAATTGTTATTATGAAGCCATGACTGCGACTTACTGGTATACCAAAGAGTTTAATTTTCATAATTACTATTTCAAACCTTCCTACCGAAATACCATTATATTAGTAACTTAAAATATATAATTGAATGTCGGAATTTCCGTGGCGAAAAGGCTAATTAGACTCAGTCCATTTTAAATTAACAATGAAAATACGAAAAACCAAAATGGAAAAAAATCACCCATTGTTAAATAATACAATTATGTTCATATAATTTGACAATAGACCGTATAGAAATGAACTTCAATTTAAAATTTAAATTAATTTTTGTTTTCTCTATACAGAAGTTCAAATAAGTTAAATCAATATTGATTTCCAATAAATAACAGATGTACAAATTTTTTTTTTTGAAATTAATAAATTTAAGAGTAAAATTTATTACAGCCTAAAAATATTTATAGCAAAAACAATAGTGACTACCGCGTAGTTTTTGTTTTATTGTACACAGTTTGCATGAAAATGTTAATTTTTATTTAAATATACTTTTAAGAATTAACGATCGCTTATTGATCTGCGCTGAATTATTATTAACAAATCTAACATATTTCTTTTTTTTTTTTTTTTGTGCATCGATTAAAAATATTTGCCGTCAATGATATGTGTATGTGCTTTTAGAATAGTTTGGAATTTGTTTATAAATGTCGTGACTTTAAAATTACAAACACCCAGCAAATATTTTTCTGTTCGCAAATTTAATTTACTTGATAAGATTTTTGAAGTTATTGCGCCGGAAAACAGGGGCGCAAATATTATGACTTAATTTCCTTAAAAACAGGTGGGCGAACTTCTTAGAAACCGAGTAGGATGCCGAAAAAGTCAGAATCGGACCATTACTATAAAACTTAAATTGTACAAATAAAATATTTATTAAAAAAATATTTTGTAATAAAATTAATGAAAAATTATAAAATTAGCAATAAAATTCTTAGCGAAGGCTTATTACGCATAAAACACTCTTCATGGATTTTGTTCGATTGTTTAATTTGATTTTTAAACATTTACGAATTTTGTTTATAAAATTCAATATCCATGATCAAGTCGCCAAATAATTTAATTAGGTTCAATTTTCAATAATATTTAAGCAAGTTTTCCCTATTTATTTAAATTTTTTAAATTTAATTTATAGCTTATCAAACAAGGCATGACATTCAACATATATAGCATAAGCGCATTAATTAATATACTTATTTCTGCACAATTTATTAATACATGTAGCTATGCAGCATAATCAGAATCATGCAGAAATAATTTATGTTGGATATGCGTCCAAAAACCATGATATATTTTGAAACTTAATTTCATAATTTAATATTAGCTATCTAACATTTGTAATACCTAATTATATTTTATTTTATATAACAAATTTATTAAAAAACAAAAAAAAAATCATATTTTTTAATAATATAAAAAAAACAGATATACATACATACAAATTATTTGATATATTTTCCATATAAAGAAAAAAGTGAAACATAAATTTTAACAAAATATTTATAAGTCACTCACATTTATTAAAAATTTAATAATTATTAAATTGTTTTTAAATTAACAACACACACAGCCAAATAATCAGCCATTTAAAAAAAAAATTATACAATAAAAGCGTCCTTTTTTTTTCCTTATTCTTAATTATTTTGATATTTTATTTTTTATTTTATTATTATTTCGTTTAAATTATTAAAAAAAAATATTATAATTTTACTTGTTGAAATTTTATTCAAAAAAAAAAAAATTAAAAGTGTGTTTTAGTAGTGAAGAAAAATGATTGTGTTAAGAGAAACTAGAGATATTGTGTATGTATGAAAATATTCACCTAAAATAAAATATAAAATATATAGCTGAATGTATAAAAATAAATGGAAAAAGAAAAAATTAAAATTATCAATGTTTATTCGATATCTCAGTCAAGCTTTTAAATTTTACACATATTCCTTAATAAACTCGATATTACTAGATAAATATGTTTATATAATGTGTAAATTTTATTTCCAGCAATAATTCAGTTTATTATTCTCTGATATTGATTACTTAGAGAAGATTACTTTTAGGTAATATTTCTCGAAATACGTTAATTTGACTCTTAGTACGATTTCGTATTATACTTTTCGAATTCCTTGAAAAGTTTGCCAGTTAATTTCGATAACAGCCGAAACTCACATATTAAATTTCAAGGAATTCCATCAATTAGTTCCGTAAATATGATGAAAAATATAAAATTTAGTGGCTAGTTCGGTTCTTGATTTTTTCAAAAACCTATTAAGTTCATTGTTCTAGAGGGTCCATTTTACATTTATAGGTACTCCGGAAAAATGTAAAATCGACCCAACAAAACTCAAGCTTTCGAGGCTTGACCTATCCAAAAAGATGATTAATCTGTGACAAAGCTGAAAAAAACTCACATATAATCGGTTCAGCCCAACGTGAGATACACAGAGAGACAGACAGACCGACATTCATCTGAAAAAGATTTTATTTGCTCTCTTTAAAATATCTTAAAAAAGAAACCGAGTAACGACGATTACCATCGGAATAGGTAAGCTAGGCTATTTAAAAAAGAAATATTTATTAGTGAATTACTAATAACTCGCCAACACTTTTTATAAGAAAAGAAAAAATTTTTTTTAATTGAGAAACACTGCTAAAATCGTGAAAAAATAAAATGAGAAAAATAAAAATAAAACAAAAATAATGAACTGGTTTGTGTATATGATAAATACCACTATTAAATTCAGCGAAAAAAATTACTTTTCCAAAAATTGAAAGAATAATTTCGCTTCGAAATAATTTAACAGAAATTTCCCTAATATTTCGCGGTTAGTTTCTTGACTAAAAAAAAATAATTTTTTTAAGTTCATTTATTCCACGGTGTAATATTTTATTAAATTTTATTCTGTAACACAAAATATATTATTATTATTTTTTATGTACAATAGAAAATAGGTACATGAATTATGTATAACAGTATACTTCTAGCAGTTTGTATAATATTATCTAACATCTATAGTGCACTTTATTTAGAAAAGCTTTTCCTTTATACAAATTTTATCTATTCAAAATAGTCAGTATATTAAGTTTTTTTTTTATTATCTTATATTATAATTATTTTTATTTTGTTACTATTTTACATAATGTTTTAATTAAATCATTTATTTTTTATAATTAAATTTATTATAAGAATATAACAACTAATAGTTGGTGCTTTTAGAACATAAACTATAATTTAATAATATATATATACTACAACAAAATGAAGATATTATTTTTATATTATGAATTTTCGTAAAATTGAGACATGCATTTACTATTTTGAATGTTTGTTTTTGTAAAAAATTATTCTCAATTTTCATGTATGTATAACATTTTATTAAATAAGGTTCTTGATTTAGCTAATGATTGGTTCTAGTACACAATTAGCAAAGACAATAATTATTTATATTGTGTACAAAATAATATATATAATATTTTTATATTTTTTCCTTTTATCAATATAACAATTATACGTGAAAGACATTTAAAAATATTAAAATTTTTATTTAGTTCTAAAACTATAATAGTATAACAGATACGAGTACGATTCAAAATAAAATTAACACAAGGGAAATAAAATAAATAAAAAAAAATTAAATACAGTAATTTAAAATTTCAGATAGAGAGAGCTTTTATTCTGAAAGTTTATAACTATAAAGCTTTTTTTTTTCGTTCAAATTTTATATCGTAAATTAATTTATATATCGTAATTCGTTATTTTAAAAGTGATTTTATTTTAAATTTAAAATTTTCAATTTTATTTATAAGGAATAATTTATTATGGAATAATAAATAAAAAGTATGTTTATAAATTTAAAAAAAAAAAATTTGTTCTTCATTCAATTTAAAACAAACTTACCTTTATAGTGACTATCAAAATCTAAACTTTTAGTATGTACAAATTCTGATTTGTCTTTTTTAGCAGTTACGGGTTTCTGAAATACGGCAAAAAAGGGTATTAAATAATATTATACAAATTTTTAATTTCAAATTTAAATGAAATTTAAAAAATTCCTAATTCAAAACAATAAGAATTGTGTTACAATTGAAGACACGAGTGAATGAAGCTGTCATATACAATTTTGATAAAAATGGGTTTATTGCATAAATAGAAGTTTTATATGTTTATCTTTCATATGCAAAAACCCGTTTTTTCAAAAAACGATTCAGTGTAAGAGACAACTTTTCTTTAAAAGGTGTTATGTGCGACTTTTGAATTATTTTGCTTTGAAAGAAAGTTAATTTACTCGAAACTTCAAAAACTCTATCACTCACCTTCATTCACTCTTGCCTTCAATTTATTAATTTATTTAAAAAAAAAATGTTGTCATTGTCATGGTAATAATGACATAAAATGATTTGAGATAACCTGTTATAAAATTTAAATGTTTTGTGTAAATTTTGATAGATTCATACTTGTTATATTAAAATATTATAATGATTTTTGTTTACCTAAGCAATAACCTATAAATATATAAATATTATGTTTGTGTTGTTTTCGCAATTAAATTAGATTTATAGGAGTATTTTACCGAAATTTAATACTGTTGAAGACGGAAAATTAAAATTTTAATATATGTATAACAGTATCTTACTCAAAAACTACTATTTTCTGTATTAGTACAAATCAGCCGTGAAAGTGCATTAATTAGAAAATTTTTTGAAATTCAAATGTATAAATAACAATAATTATTGAGTAGATATTCCGAAATATACTTAACTTTCGAAAGAATATTTGAATTAATTTTGTATAATATTAACATTCAATATTGATTACACGACTTTTTATTAATATAATTAATTATTTTTTATGATAACAAATTTATGTAAGATTTTATTAGTATAATTTTGTTATAATGATTCTGGGGAGTGGGGCATATGATGATCCATCCTATATATTACTATATGAATTTGAAGATTTTTCTTTAAAGTTTTTCTAACTTACTTTAATAAAATTTCCATGGCATTCTGTTTCTACCATAAAAGTGCTTATATAGGCAATTGATTTAGCAGTCACCCTCTGAAATTTTATAAAATTAACCAATTTTTTTTTCTGTATTCTTTTAAAATTTTTTATCCATTTTCTATATCAACATAAATTTTTCGATTTACTAAATTTTTTAACAGCATAAATTCTATACAGGAAGATGCGCGTTAATAATTTGTTTTTTTTTTTTTTTTAATTATTATACGTGTTAAATTTATAAAATATAAGCAATAGAATTGGATTCTAAAAAGGATGCAAAACTACCATTGTACAACATCATATTATTATATTTTAAAAGTATTATACTGCTGACTAGATTTTAATGATAATCATGATTATCCTACTTTTAGTCTTTCTATAAAAATGTTAATAATGAATTTAATTTACAAAATATTAGATTTATGGTACCATGTAGAGTTAGTAAAACATTAATAATAATTATGCAAAAATATTAATGAACATTGCTATATAGTTAATTTAGTGTGAAAAATTTCGATTACTTTTATAAAAATATGAAAGTCTAAATAATATGGAATGTATGTATATATTATATACAAATACTCAAAATATATATTTTATAGGAAATATCGTATAGGTATCTATATAAATATTAGAATTTTTTTAATACTTACATCTGGTACTACAGTTTTTAAATCTTCTAAACGTAAGGAATCACGTAATTTTTCAGTCTCTTTACTTCGCAATGTTGATGTTGGTGTTGATACTGGTGTCCATACCTTTCCCGATTCAATTTTTGGGAGGGTAACTTGGCTATAAAAAAAACAAATATTCTGTTTTTGTTTCTTTATATTTAATATTTATAGTTTTTATATTAACATTCATTTGTGTTAATTTATTTTCAATTACAGAAAATAATATTGTGTGTATATACATAAAATAAAATGCATTATTAAAGATCTGTCTGGTGTGGTCTGTTATGATATTTTCAAGCGTTTATGTAAACAGATATAGAAACAACAATTAAAATGATACCATCATAAACAACACAACATTGAAAATTAACAATTTACAATATAGAGCAAATTAATCAAATAAAAGTAATAGCACAAAAAATTATTAATAATATTGTTTGAATGCAAAATTGTGTGTTTGTTATCAAAATCTTTTAAGTGTTATCACGAACACTTATATATAAGAAGCGTTGTAATTATAATAAGCAAATGTGAAGAAAATAATAAAATAAGAAATAAGCCTTTTTCAGAAATATTTAAGTTTTACATTTTAAAATACAATTTTGAAAAAACTTATTTGTAATTAACCCTTTACGTCCTGCTTTGTATATATAGAAACGTTCTATATATCCAAAACCTTTAAAGTATGATTAATATTTTGGTTAGTGGATTCCGTCAAGAAAAATGATTTTAAATTGTTTGCCTGGTAAAAATGCTAAAGCTACATTTTATTTACACAACAGGTAAGAGCCGTTTTGCAGAGATTTCATTTGTTCCTAACAATAATTCCTTTCTAAAATAATTAACTCAGTTTTATCGTTTTTTATAACCATAATTTTAATTCTAAATGTAAATTTACCGCAATTTTTTTAATTATTCGAGAATATACTGTAATACAAAATATGATTTCATTTCGAAAACGCAATAAAAAAATCGAATGTGGTCAACACATAACCGATCGCAAGTTATATTGTTTAGTTCAGCGAAAATGTTTTATACATTATGAAAATACCATGCCATTAACAGGATAATAAATACACAGAAAAATATTAATTTGGCTCTTAGTAGAATTTCTCTTTATATCATCCGACTTCCATGAATAATTTATCGGTTGTTACTTCCGATAGCAATTGTTTTAACACCATTAATTCGCAAATTAAACTTCAAGGATTATGTATAGGCTAATTATTTTCTTAAATATAGTCAGAAAAGTAAAATCGCCCTGTAGCAAAAATTTAGTTGCAGAGACCTGATATATCTAAAAAGTTAATCAAACTGATCTGAACAGACCGAAAGAAATCCAAACATACCGAAAGACATCTCTCTAAAAATAGTTTATTTACGTATCCCTAGCGTCGAAAAACTGATTGCCGTCGAAAAATTGACATGTGAAATTTGGTACTATCACATGACCTCCCTTTTTGTATCCCATGCAACAAAGTAAAAAATATCGCCAACGTATATAATACTGTGAATAATTTCATTATAATTTCGAAATTGATGAAATCATTTCAATTTTAATCTTAATATTAAAATACTTAATTATTAATGGACCTACAGGTATGTTATTAATTTATTAATAGGGTATAATGACTTTCATATGACATGTATAATAAGTAAAATAGAAGTACAATATAAATTGAAATAAAATATTTTTGTAATTGTAATTGTGCTTTTAATTGTTTTGTTTTTTTGTTTTCTTGTCATAAATTAAGCGGTATAATTGGCATATAAAAATGAAAAAAAAATAATAAAAATTAATCTCTTGAAATGAAATAATTAAATCTAAAGAAGCGGACAAATATCATTAAAATAATAAAATTTTTTTTTTTGTTACAAAAATAGACATTTGAATTAAACGTACCCAAAGTTTCTGAAAAAGCGAAAAATTTTTGTTATTTTTGAAAAATAAAAAACACAATATTGGTTTTTATTTTTTTTATGTTTTAGTTCAAATAGTCATGTTAATACAATTTTCGGGAATAAAAAAAAAAAGAAAATAAGAAAAGAAAATAAATTATTTTTTCCTTTTTGTTTAATTAATGTAAATTTAATTATAAAACATTTTATTTTTATTTTTAATTTTATTAATTAAATTATAAAAAGCCAAACAGCTTCTTTAAAAAAAAAACAATTTTTTAGAACATTATTCATCATCTTTATTTAATATTTAAACAAGCTGTATTGCTAATATTAAATTTATTATTAATAAATAAATAATTTAAACAAAAAAAAATTAATTTAAATCTTACTTTTCATGAGCTTCCTCTTCTTCTTGTGTTACATCGGATGGAGGCGTTAAATAACCAGCTAATCTAAGGCCACGTTCTCTTAGACCACCGAATTTAAACGATTGCTTAAAACTAGCACGTGCTCTATCAACTACAAAATCAATAAAAATTTTTTTATATATTTTGAAAATTAACAAAACAGAAAAAAAAATAAATTATAAACTTACATTTACTTAACCTTCCAGGCGGTTCATCAATTGGTGGCTCTGATGTTGTAGGATTTGATAAATCTTCAAAATTAATTATATACAATGAGATATCATCAGCCTCTGAACGGATAGGTGCTATAACTTCTGAGCAAAGAAATTTCGTCCCTTTTGTAAATATGAAAAGAAAAAAAAAACAAAGGAAAATATTTAATTTTTAAAAATTAATTCGATTTTATCTCTTGATCGTCGTCTAAGTGGTGCTCGATATTATTCTTTTTATACTTACCATTTTTACGATAGTATAAAATTTCAAAATGTTTTTCATAGCCTTTTGTAAGAGCCTCCCTAATAAGATTCACAGCCACTTGTGATGTCATTGGTCCGTGAAGAAAATCAGTTGAACTTGAGCGCTGCATCACTTCAGCGCGTGTAAAACCAGTCATTTTACAGAAACCATCCGAACACCAAATGATATGATGCGTCTCTGATTGGGCATTTGCTACTAAAAAACTTCTATCTGCAATTATATAAAATTGAAAAAAAAAAATGCATTAATAATTTTAATTTAACAATATACAAGATATAATTTATAATCTCATAAAAAAATCATAAAAAATAGGCAGAAAAATTTGACATTGCCTGCCCAAGACACTGCCCGCTGAATGAGCATACGATTGGAGTGCAATTGCCCTTCAACAAAACGTGTCTGAACGACCGAGAAGTAAACAAGAAGGACCATTTTTCACTCTATCAGCGAGTGCTCGGCTCTTTGTGGATTGGTCACGTGGAGCAGAGCGTACGCGACGCGCTTGGATGAAATATTCAATATTAGAACATTCGCGGATTGAAATACATTCCCAAAAGAACCGGGTATCTAAGATAGTTCACGTGTAATCGTACGCTTAATAGCAGCCTGGTGATCACACGGTAGTGGTAACAAAACGGCACATTTGCTGCTAATAGGAGTGCGATGGTTCTGCTAGACCGGTCACGTGAACTAATCAATCAACCAAAGATAGCTAATTCTAACAAAATAAAGGTATGTGCTCTTAAAAACCTTCATAATTTTATGATTTTTATATTAAAAAGTCCGCTAACTGCTATAAACAAGTTTAAAAATTGCTCAACGAGTGCGCAAATATAAAAAAACTTCAATTCAAAGCAAGAGCGAGTAGGCAAGCTTCTAACTGAATTATAAAAAAAAAGTTATTTTCGATTTCATAAATGTTACTTCTTAAATTTCCTAACCTATATCTATTTAGTTCAAATAATAAGCAGCATAAAATTAATATCAACGAATTCTCCGTTTTGAGTTTCATATGCTCACAAAATTTGGTGGTTCTACGACTGTTGTAGCTAAAGTTATAATATATTATATTATTTAAAATTATCCTTGAAAATATTAATTTATTGAGCCTTCTTGATAGCTCCTCTTTCAGATTTAGTGTTCAATAGTTAACTACATACATAAATCAATTTTAATTATATAAAGCCTAATTTTAGAATTTTGGACGCATCACGGCTAACTAAAGATATTTTCGAATTGTGTTTAATATTAGGTATTCTAAAATTTCAAAAAAGCTATAAAATTAGTCATACACTGAAAAAACTGCGAGAATTGCACACTAAAAAGTCTAAAATTCTCAGTATGTAAATGAGTAAAACATTAATTTTAGGTACCATTGGTAAAGTTAATTATTAAAAAATTGCTATTGAAACAATAAGAAAGTAAAAGGAGATCGCTGAAATTTAGTTATAATTTTTCTAAAGTTTGGAAATTATTTTATTTATAAAATTGTAGAATATATTTTCCATTTTAAAATTTTTAATATAATAGAACAAAACTTAAATTTATAATATCAAAAATCCAAAAACCGGAAGATAATAATGCAAAGATCCCATTTTTTATCAACGCTCTTACATAAACGGATAATATTTTTTAATTTAAAATAATTATAATTAATTACATTGATATACAGGCAAAAACATTTTCAATATTTTTAATTAAAATCTAATTTATATTAATCAATGTTATATTTTTGTAGAAATCTTTGATAAAATTTTAAATTTTAATAGAAGAGCCTTCAATAAACATTCCAAATTTTATTATAAATTATATTATAATTATATAACATATTCGACAGAGTTGAGAGGCAAAAATGAATTTATGTTAAAATAGAGTGAAAACAGGAAAGTATTTTGGAAATAAAGAACAATATTCTTTAGGCCATACAGCTGTATTGAACATAATAACTCATTTTTGCAAAAATATTGGGTAGGCCACTTATGTGCCGCGCGTCTCAAATACAATTACTTTAAAATACATCTATATCAAATACGATTAAAGTAAATTTATGGATTAAGGAGTTGAATATATTTGATTTATAATATTGATCCTTTATTAAAATAGATATAAACAAAAAAAAATTTGTTATACTTTAGTATAAAACTTACTGTAAAAGATTAGAGAGAGATTGGATTATAGATGTACTGTGATCCTTGAAAATAATTTTTAAAAAAATATATTATAATAAGTAATTGAGATATTAAACGAATAACCCACACCGAGAAAGGATGCTTTGTTTGGCAATTATATATAAAATATTTTAAGAGATGGTTAGTTCAACTTAATTATTATTAATGACTGTAATAAAAGGTCACTGTTAGATTTTCCAATAATTTTTTAAAAAATTTTAAGGTCACATTTTCATATTCATAGAAAATTGAAATTTTCCTTTATAAATTTATTTTTTGTACGAAAAATATTCCGGTGAAAATTAGATTTTACGACACAAGTTGAAATTATAATTGAAAAGATGGCATTAAATAAGAGCTACGTATATTTCATGAAAAATAAAAATCATCTTTAAAATTGGGATGATTTTAACTAGAATATTTACAGGAAATTTTTAACAATTGATCCTGTTATTAAAATTAATTATAGCTTGTGGCGAAACTATAATAAAATAATAATTTCTTTAAGTAAATTTAAAGCCTATTTTACTTTATCTTTATAAAAATTTTCATTATAATTAAATTTTATTGATATTTATTAGAATTTTGTTTCAATAATCTCACAGATCACGACTATTCTAAATTTTCATTATATTTTATTTTATAAGTTTCGAGTGCATGATAGAATAAGATGTAAGCAATGAATGCAGTTCACATTTTTTTATGCTTGATTTATTAAAACACAAAATAAATTAAGAATCATTTTCTAGTTCAAAATCATTACTATAATATGAGGATGCTGTTTGTGTTAGATATCAAATATAGTAAAAACAATCATAATTTTATATCTTTAGATTTCAATTGAACATCCTACACAATTATTGCTATAAGAATTCTTGGTTTATTGCACAATCTTTTCATATATGAAATTGCATTAAGTGACAAAAATATGAGTTCTAATTCAAGAAAGGTATATTAGCAATAGCAATGTAAAATATTATATTCATGTTAGTGCATTTGTGTTTAGAAAAAACAAAAAAGGAAAAAACATGTTTTTATTTCCGAATTGGCCTTGTACAATAGAAGCACAAAAATAATAATCTATACATATAATAATATGCTGTCATCGATGTTCCTTTCAATTACAAAATTTCATGTTCATTTGTTTTTTGATGGTTTTTATTTTGTTCTGTTTTTTTTGTTGTTTTTATTATCCTGTCGTATATATAAAGTACTTGAAACTGAAAAATATTTTCAGTTATTTCATTTTATCTATATTACTTTTTTCTATTATATTCAGAGAAAAAGAAGGAAAAATTCACCTTATGAAACTTCTAGAATTCACAATATTATTACAGTTATAAGGACATCAAGTTACGATTTTAATCCCAGTGCAACATTATAGTTTCTACGTGTAAACAATTTAATTTCTTTATTTAATTTTCATATCAGAGACAAAAATAAGAGATGAATAACAGACACCTTTCCAATTGTGATTTTTTGTTTGCAACTGAATAAAATCCTTATTTTTAGTCAAAGTAATGTCGTGAAACGTTTGGAATTCAAATAAAAATTGAATTTTCCTGGGCACCTCAATTTTATGATTATAACATTAATAACTAAATAAGAACCCAATACTTTCTAATGCACAGAAATAGACCTGACAAATAGCTGTCCAAAAATTGACTTGTTAGTCACTCTTAAAATATATTTTTATTATTTTCGGTAGACTGTCGGCCATTATAGGTATATCGAGAAAAATTTTGACGCTGGAATAGGACTTTCCTGATTGTTAGACACTTGTTAAAATAATACTTATTGCACCATAGAATAAAATGGTAAACTACTAAAAACCGTCGCGATACCAGGAACCATTTTAATAATTTTCATTGTGGCCAATGTCTCAGGCCTTTTTTTTTGTTCGAGCTCGTATGGATACTGCTTCAATGGTAATTTAATACAAATCTAAATTCAATGGTAATATAATACAAATCTAAAAAAGCGATCAAGCTGCAGTAATATAAATATGTTCCGGACTGTTTTTACATAACATGAACAAGAAAATTTTGTTAATTCAAACTCCAAATCTGATGCAACTCTGAAGGATCTACAAAATGAATTTTTTATAATAAATAATAAGTATTAAATTACTTAAATAGAGTAAAGATCTTTATGGACCATTATATTGCCCATACTTTGTAACAAATTCTCTTCTCATTCTCTTTACATTTAATTAAAATTGAGCACTGTGTTAATAATTTTCTTGTTTATCTCTTATATTCTCCCTTTCTTATTTTTTAATAGTTTTTTACTATTTTATTTTCAATTTTTCTTAATATTTGAAAACAAGATGGCTAATTTTTATTCATAATATTAAATTTATAAATGGAACAAAAGTTCATCATGTCAAACATGGTTTATAACAAATTTTATATCTAACTATATAGTTTTATAACTAAGTAATTTTCTTCAGAGAATTTTTCCATTGAATTTTAATGATAAACCATAAAAACATAAAACATTTATTTGCAAAACGTGAAAATAACAAGGAGTAAAACAAAAAAAAAAAAAAAACTAAATAAAAATAGAATTTTCTCGTTTTCATCTTTAGAATACAAGGACTGACTATAACAATAACTAAACTATATTGGGATTTTCACTGCGGCTAAAATAAAAACGAATTAAAATTGATGGAAAATAACTTCCTGTGGTTTTAATAGATAATATAGTTGACAATACTACCGCAATAAGATAATCATATTTCCTAATATTATTATACAGGGTGCCATACAGGGAAGTATCTTTAGTAATTAAATTTTGAACCCAATACAATTGAAAATTTTTAGGTAAATTTATGGCGAATTGATGAAATCTATACAACTTTAAATATTATAAGTGAAATACGAAAAACAATTGTTGGAATTGAATATTTATGTCTGTCCACATTAACAATAGAAAATAGTTAATGAAACGCCTTTTTTCGAATGAAAAAAAAACAAAATTGGGGCAACAATACTGGGAAAATTCATAATTTTTTAACTAGGATTTTCGATATTTAAAGCC